ATGAAGAGGGGTGTGAGGGGTGATGGGGAGGGAGTGGGAGGGAGAATGGGGAGAGGGGGCAGAGGGGTGATGGGGAGAACACTTTCAAGGTTTTATGAATTAATAATTTTTTTCCGGTTAAAAAAAGAGATTCATTTCAACTGTGGATTATCCGATACCTGGCAGTCCTTTTGTAAGCTTTTACCGTGCTGGTGTGTGGTGGAGGGGAGCTTTGTGAGTGGGGTGTGTGGATGTGAATGGGGAGTGTGTGGGCAGGTTGAGTGGAAGGGGGGTCTTTTTGTGTCGTGTGTGTGTGTGTGAGGTGGAATGTGAGTGGAGGGGTGGAAGGGGGTCTTTGTGTGTGTGTGTGTGTGTGTGTGTGTGTCATGGGGTTGGGAGTAAAGAGAATAGTTGAACCACCCAACTAAGTTCTGATCCATGACCCACCTACAGCCCACCCACAACCACCTACCCACACATGACCCACCTGTCTCATGTCAACAACGACTGGCCACACATACCTGGAAAAAACAAAACAGGTGTTACAGGTCATAGAGTCACTTTATATAACGTGGGAAAAAAATTATCTGCACAAAATTTAGTTGAAAAAATATGACACAACAGACGAAGGATTGTGACAACCCTACCGAGACAACAGGAGTCACAGTGTTCATTGTGAAATTCATCGATCACCCCAAGTACAGATAGTTTTTTGAGTGATTAAATAGTAACATCTCTCTCTCTATATATAAATAAGCAATAGAATACATACTTATAGGCCTATATAACATACTTATTATATACTTATAGGCCTACATTACATACTTATAAGCCTACATTACATACTTAGTACAAACTTTTAGGCCTTATTACACACTTATAAGCCTATACTACATACTTATGACACAATTATAGGTCTATAATACATACTTAGCACATACTTATAGGCCTATACTACAAACTTATGACAATTATAGGTCTATTATACATACTTATAAGCCTATACAACACACTTATTACACAGGCCTATATTACAGCATAAACATAAATTTACATAATAAACAAACACATCAAACAAGAGATACAAGAACTTGTATCTCTCATGTTACTCGAACCAAGGGACACAGCTGTTAGTGTTGAAGCTTCCAAGAGTGTACAGTACATGTATAAAACACACTAGGCAAACAATTCAGGTTTAATCACATTGTTTGGGCTGTAACAATGTGGTTGTTTAGTCTTTGTTTGTGTTGTGTATGAATAACCCTGGTAGTTGAAGCACCAAAAACTAAGACCTAGTGAACGGTGCTTAATAACCCTGGTAGTTGAAGCACCCAAACTACCTAGTGAACGGTGCATTAATCCTGGTAGTTGAAGCACCTAAAACTAAACCCAGTGAACGGTACTTAATAACCCTGGTAGTTGAAGCACCTAAAACTAAGACCTAGTGAACGGTGCTTAATAACCCTGGTAGTTGAAGCACCATAGATTAAAAAACTCAGACCCCGTCAGTAGTTATGTGTTACTGTACACACTCAGACCCCCGTCAGTAGTTATGATACTGTACACACTCAGACCCTGTCAGTAGTTATGTGTTACTGTACACACTCAGACCCCGTCAGTAGTTATGTGATACTGTACACACTCAGACCCCGTCAGTAGTTATGTGTTACTGTACACACTCAGACCCCGTCAGTAGTTATGTTACTGTACACTCAGACCCTCGTCAGTAGTTATGTTACTGTACACACCAGCACCCCTGTCAGTAGTTATGTGTGTTACTGTACACACTCAGACCCTCGTCAGTAGTTATGTGTTACTGTACACACTAGACTCCCCCGTCAGTAGTTATGTGTTACTGTACACACTCAGACCCCTGTCAGTAGTTATGTGTTACTGTACACACTCAGACCCCCTGTCAGTAGTTATGTGTTACTGTACACACTCAGACCCCCTGGTCAGTAGTTATGTGTTACTGTACACACTCAGACTGTCAGTAAGTGTTACTGTACACACCCAGACCCCCGGTCAGTAGTTATGTGTTACTGTACACACTGACCCTGTCAGTAGTTATGTGTTACTGTACACTCTCAGCCCCTGTCACTAGTAAGTTGTGTTACTGTACACACCCAGACCCCCCTGTCAGTAGTTATGTGTTACTGTACACACCAGACCCCGTCAGTAGTTGTGTTACTGTACACACTCAGACCCCTGTCAGTAGTTATTGTTACTGTACACACTCAGACCCTGTCAGTAGTTATGTGTTACTGTACACACTCAGACCCCTGTCAGTAGTTATGTGTGTTGCTGTACACACTCAGCACCTCGTCAGTAGTTATGTGTTACTGTATACACTCAGACCCCTGTCAGTAGTTATGTTACTGTACACACTCAGACCCTGTCAGTAGTTATGTGTTACTGTACACACCCAGACCCTCGTCAGTGTGTTACTGTACACCAGACCCCGTCAGTAGTTATGTGTTACTGTACACACTCAGACCCCTTGTCAGTAGTTATGTGTTACTGTACACACTCAGACCCCCGTCAGTAGTTATGTGTTACTGTACACACTCAGACCCCGTCAGTAGTTATGTTACTGTACACACTAGACCCCGTCATAGTATATGTGTTACTGTACACACTCAGACCTCGTCAGTAGTTATGTGTTACTGTACACACTCAGACCCCTGTCAGTAGTTATGCATTACTGTACACACTCAGACCCCGTCAGTAGTAATGTGTTACTGTACACACCCAGACCCCTGTCAGTAGTTATGTGTTACTGTACACACCAGACCCCTGTCAGTAGTTATGATGTTACTGTACACAGCTAGACTCGTCAGTAGTTATGTGTTACTGTACACACCCAGACCTCGTCAGTAGTTATGTGTTACTGTACACACTCAGACCCCTGTCAGTTATGTGTTACTGTACACTCTCAGACCCCCATCAGTAGTAATGTGTTACTGTACACACCAGACCCCCGTCAGGTTATGTGTTACTGTACACACTAGACCCCCGTCAGTAGTAATGTGTTACTGTACACCCAGACCCCCGTCATAGTGTTTGTGTTACTGTACACCTCAGACCCCCGTCAGTAGTTATGTGTTACTGTACACACTTCAGACCCCTGTCAGTAGTTATGTTACTGTACACCTCAGACCCTCGTCAGTAGTTATGTGTTACTGACACCCAGACCCTCGTCAGTAGTTATGTGTTACTGTACACACTCAGACCCCTGTCAGTAGTTAGTGGTACTGTACACACTCAGACCCCTGTCATAGTAATGTACTGCCACACCCAGACCCCTGTCAGTTATGTTACTGTACACACTCAGACCCCTGTCAGTAGTTATGTGATATGTACACACTCAGACCCCCCAAGTTATGTTACTGTACACACTCAGACCCCTTGTCAGTAGTAATGTGTTACTGTACACACCACACCCCCGTCAGTTAAGTGTGTTACTGTACACTCAGACCCCCGTCAGTAGTTATGTGTTACTGTACACACTCTCAGACTCTGTCAGTAGTTATGTGTTACTGTACACACTCTCAGACCCCTGTCAGTAGTTATGTGTTACTGTACACACCCAGACCTCAGGTAGTTATGTGTTATTGTACACACTCAGGACCCTCTCAGTAGTTATGTATTACTGTCACACACTCAGACCCCGTCAGTAGTTATGTGTTACTGTACACACTCAGACCCCCGTCAGTAGTTATGTGTTACTGTACACACTCAGACCCCGTCAGTAGTACTACAGACCTTCATGAGGGATTGGCTCCAGTCGGGGTGGCTGTAGAAGGGAGGCATGTAGTCAGGTTCCACCAGGCCAAAGAGAAAAGAACGCCTCTCACAGTGTTAAGAGTTAGTGACAGTGTTAAGAGTTAGTGACAGTGTTAAGAGTTAGTGACAGTGTTAAGAGTTAGTGACAGTGTTAAGAGTTAGTGACAGTGTTAAGAGTTAGTGACAGTGTTAGAGTTAGTGACAGTGTTAGAGTTAGTGACACTGTTAGAGTTAGTGACAGTGTTAGAGTTAGTGACAGTGTTAGAGTTAGTGACACTGTTAGAGTTAGTGACACTGTTAAGAGTTAGTGACAGTGTTAGAGTTAGTGACAGTGTTAAGAGTTAGTGACAGTGTTAGAGTTAGTGACAGTGTTAAGAGTTAGTGACACTGTTAAGAGTTGACAGTGTGAGTTAGTGACACTGTTAAGGTTAGTACTGTTAAGAGTTAGTGACACTGTTAAGAGTTAGTGACAGTGTTAGAGTTAGTGGCAGTGTTAGAGTTAGTGACAGTGTTAGAGTTAGTGACAGTGTTAAGAGTTAGTGACAGTGTTGAGTTAGTGACGGCGTAAGAGTTAGTGACAGCGTTAAGAGCTAGTGACAGCGCTAGAGCTAGTGACAGTGCTAAGAGTTAGTGACAGTGCTGAAGTTGGTGACAGTGTTAAGAGTTAGTGACAGTGTTAAGAGTTAGTGACGGTAAGAGTTAGTGACAGCGTTAAGAGCTAGTGACAGTGTTAGAGTTAGTGACGGTAGAGTTAGTGACAGTGTTAGAGTTAGTGACAGTGTTAGAGTTAGTGACAGTGTTAAGAGTTAGTGACAGTGTTAAGAGTTAGTGACAGTGTTAAGAGTTAGTGACACTGTTAAGAGTTAGTGACAGTGTTATAGAGTTAGTGACAGTGTTAAGAGTTAGTGACAGTGTTAAGAGTTAGTGACAGTGTTAAGAGTTAGTGACAGTGTTAAAGTCAACCTGTCCACCACCACCACCTGCCAATCTTTCCACCACAAACACCACCTGCCAATCTGTCCACCACAACCACCACCTGCCAACCTGTCCACCACCACCTGCCAACCACCCCCTGCCACCCTGTCCACCACCACCTGCCAACCTGTCCACCACAACGACAAGCTAATCCCTCGCTCCGGAAAACAGACACGTACTTGTTTACAGAGTACAGTGGATTGGCTCTGTGTGATTACGCTAATGTGCATGAGATCACCGATGAGGAGATGACCCAAACCATGCTGGCAGTCTGTAAAGTCGTACAGAGACTCCTTACTCGAGGCATCGCACACAATGATATAAAATACAACAATGTCTGCCTTCACAACGGGGACGACGGGCTCCACGTGACCCTCATCGACTTGGGGATGGCTACGCTCGTCAATCATCCAGTATACAGAAGACCAGTAGCCACTGATATCCAGCCGCAGATAGTATGGATGGCACCGGAGGTTCTGAACGGGGAAAATACCACCACCACCAGCGACGTCTACAGCCAAGTTACTATTTCAACAATTCGTCGATTGGGGTCGTACCCTGAAGTAATCGTCCAGTGGGTGCGCTCAGCCCAAAACAAGGACCCCACCTGCCGCCCCAGCCTCCAGAGCTTAATAGACATTCTTGAACCCATATTATCCAAGTGAAAATTTTCCCAGTCAGAACCCTCAGCCAGAACCCACCCAGCCAGAACCCTCCCAGCTAAACCCTCCCAGTCAGAACCCTCCCAGCCAGAACCCTCCCAGCCAGAACCCTCCATCAGAACTCACCCATCCAGAACTCTCCCAGGTCCAGCCAGAACCCACCCAGCCAGAACCCTCCCAGCCAGAACCCTCCCAGCAGAACCCTCCCATCCAGAACCCTCCCAGCCAGAACTCACCCAGCCAGAACTCCCAGCCAGAACCTCTCCCAGCCAGAACCCTCCCAGCCAGAACCTCCCAGCCAGAACCCTCCCAGCCAGAACTCACCCAGCCAGAACTCTCCAGCCAGAACCCTCCAGCCAGAACCCTCCCAGTCCAGAACCCTCCCAGCCAGAACCCTCCATCCCAGAACTCACCCAGCCAGAACCCCTCCCAGCGAACTCACCCAGCCAAACCCTCCCAGCCAGAACTCCTTGCCAAGACCACTCCCAGCCAGAACCCTCCCAGCCAGAACCCTCCCGGCCAGAACTCACCCAGCCAGAACTCACTCGGCCAGACTCACCCAGCCAGAACCCTCCCAGCCAGAACCCTCAGCCAGAACCCTCCCAGCCAGAACTCACCGGGCCAGAACCCTCCCAGCCAGAACCCTCAGCCAGAACTCTCAGCCAGAACCCTCCGACAAGACCCTCCCAGCCAGAACCCCCCAGCCAGAACTCTCCCAGCCAGAACCCTCAGCCAGAACCCTCCCAGCCAGTCCCAGCCAGAACCCTCAGCCAGAACCCTCGGCCAGAACTCACCCAGCCAGAACCCTCCCAGCCAGAACCCTCCCAGCCAGAACCCTCCCAGCCAGAACTCACCCAGCCAGAACCCTCCCAGCCAGAACTCACCCAGCCAGAACCCTCCATCCAGAACTCACCCAGCCAGAACCCTCCCAGCCAGAACCCTCCCAGCCAGAACCCTCCCAGCCAGAACCCTCCCAGCCAGAACCCTCCCAGCCAGAACCCTCCATCCAAAACAGTCAAAAAGGACATCAAAATCGTCTTCTAAGAAAAAGAAAAAAAGTAAAAGAAAAAAAGAACGTCGATCAACCAAATAAAAGGATTATCAGTTGATAATCTGACCATTAAAATTTACTATTATTATTATTATTATTATTATTATTATTATTATTATTAGTAGTAGTAGTAGTAGTAGTAGTAGTAGTAGTAGTAGTAGTAGTAGTAGTAGTAGTAGTAGTAGTAGTAGTAGTAGTACCTTTAGCATTACTATTATTATCTTTATTATTACTAATAAATTATTATTACTGGTATTATTATTATCATCATTATTCCTCTACGCGGACCCATCTCTCTCCCTGATAAGCTTCCAGCTTTTATGATACATACCTGTCTTCGTGTTGGTGTTTGTTGTGGACGACAGGTAGGCTAATTTGCTCACCTGAGAGACATTATGTAAACAATACCCCGGAGTATTTAGGTTAGGTTAGGTTAGGGAATATAAATGGTGTACTGTTTTTTTTTTACTCACTGTCACTGTTATACAAACATGGAGTATTTCTGTATGAACGTGTGTGTGTGTGTGTGTGTCAACGTGAGCGTGTGTGCAGACAGGGAGTGCGTGTGTACAAGGAGGCCAACTAGTCATAATCCTGACAGCTCTGCCCTCTTGTTCAACCTTATTACTTTACAAACCATGTTGTACTGCTCCCCCATTCTACTTGTGTTTTTCAATTCCACTGTAATTTATGTATTAAAGCACCTATGGTAGTTGAAGCACCTAAAACTAAGACCTAGTAAACGGTGGTTAATAAACCCTGGTAGTTGAAGCACCTAAAACTAAGACCTGGTAAACGGTGGTTAATAAACCCTGGTAGTTGAAGCACCTAAAACTAAGACCTGGTAAACGGTGGTTAATAAAAGCCTGGTAGTTGAAGCACCTAAAACTAAGACCTGGTAAACGGTGGTTAATAAACCTGGTAGTTGAAGCACCTAAAACTAAGACCTGGTAAACGGTGGTTAATAAACCCTGGTAGTTGAGCACCTAAAACTAGACACAGTAAACGTGGTTAATAAACCTGGTAGTTGAAGCACCTAAAACTAAGACCTGGTAAACGGTGGTTAATAATAACCTGGTAGTTGAAGCACCTAAAACTAAGACCTGGTAAACGGTGGTTAATAAACCTGGTAGTTGAGCACCTAAAACTAAGACCTGGTAAACGGTGGTTAATAAACCTGGTAGTTGAAGCACCTAAAACTAAGACCTAGTAAACGGTGGTTAATAAACCCTGGTAGTTGAAGCACCTAAAACTAAGACCTGGTAAACGGTGGTTAATAAACCCTGGTAGTTGAAGCACCTAAAACAACAACAACAACATTTATTCAACTCAGTCAATCAGTCCATCACTCGCTCAGTCAATCCATCAGTCAATTACTCGCCCACTCGCCCACTCCATCAACTCAGATCAAAAATATATAAATTGAAGTTGGTCCATTGAACGACTCTTGATAAAAATGGACGTATGTAATTTCCAAGTAAATCTGAAATCTATTGTAGTTACTGTTGTTGTTTTTTGTGGTTTGTTTTTTGTGGTTGTCTTTGTTGTTGTTGTTTTTGCTGTTGTTTTTGTTTTGCGGTTGTCTTTGTTGTTGTTGTTTTTGTGGTTGTTTTTGTTTTTGTTTTTGTTGTTGTTTTTGTGGTTGTCTTTGTTTTATTTGTTGTTGTTTGTTTTTGTGGTTTGCTGTTATTGATATTGTTGTTGTTATTATTTTTTACTGTTGTATTAGTGTTGTAGTTTCTTTCATTGTTATTCTAGTTATTTTATTATAGATATTATTGTTGTTTATTATTATTGTTGTATTATTGTTGTATTATTATTGTCGTATTATTATTAGTTGTATTATTATTGTTGTATTATTATTGTTGTATTATTATTGTTGTATTATTATTGTTGTATTATTATTGTTGTATTATTATTGTTGTATTATTATTGTTGTATTAGTATTGTTGTATTATTATTGTTGTATTATTATTGTTGTATTATTATTGTTGTATTATTATTGTTGTATTATTATTGTTGTATTATTATTGTTGTATTATTATTGTTGTATTAGTATTGTTGTATTAGTATTATTTGTATTAGTATTGTTGTATTATTGTTTGTTGTATTATTATTGTTGTATTATTATTGTTGTATTATTATTGTTGTATTATTATTGTTGTATTATTATTGTTGTATTATTATTGTCGTATTATTATTGTTGTATTATTATTGTTGTATTATTATTGTCGTATTATTATTGTTGTATTATTATTGTTGTATTATTATTTGCATTATTATTGTTGTATTATTATTATTGTATTAGTATTGTTGTATTATTATTGTCGTATTATTATTGTTGTATTATTATTGTTGTATTATTATTGTCGTATTATTATTTATTATTGTTGTTGTATTATTATTGTATTATTATTGTTGTATTATTATTGTTGTATTATTGTTGATTATTATTGTTGTATTATTATTATTGTTGTATTATTATTGTTTGTATTATTATTGTTGTATTATTATTGTTGTATTAATTGTTGTATATTGTTGTAATTATTATTGTTGTATTATTGTTGTATTATTATTGTTTAGTATTATTATTGTTGTATTATTATTGTTGTATTAGTATTATTTGTATTAGTATTGTTGTATTATTATTGTTGTATTATTATTGTTGTATTATTATTGTTGTATTATTATTGTTGTATTATTATTATTGTATTAGTATTATTTATTATTATTATTATTTGTATTATTATTGTTGTATTATTATTGTTGTATTATTATTGTTTGTATTATTGTTGTATTATTATTGTTGTATTATTATTGTTGTATTATTATTGTTGTATTAATTGTTGTATTATTATTGTTGTATTTATTATTGTTTATTAATTATTGTTGTATTATTATTGTTGTATTATTATTGTTGTTATTATTATTGTTTATTATTATTGTTGTATTATTGTTGTATTATTATTGTTGTATTATTATTGTATTATTATTGTTGTATTAGTATTGTTGTATGTATTGTTGTATTATTATTGTTGTATTAGTATTGTTGTATTATTATTGTTGTATTATTATTGTTGTATTATTGTTATTTATTATTATTATTGTTGTATTATTATTGTTGTATTATTATTATTAGTATTATTATTGTTTATGTATTATTATTGTTGTATTAGTATTGTTGTATTAGTATTGTTGTATTAGTATTTGTATTATTATTGTTGTATTATTATTGTTTATTATTATTATTGTTGTATTATTATTGTTGTATTATTATTGTTGTATTATTATTGTTGTATATATTGTTGTATTAGTATTGTTGTATTATTGTGATTATTATTGTTGTATTATTATTGTTTATTATTATTGTTGTATTATTATTGTTGTATTATTATTGTTTGTATTAGTATTGTCGTATTATTATTGTCGTATTATTATTGTCGTATTATTATTATTTGTATTATTATTATTGTATTATTATTGTTGTATTATTATTGTTGTATTATTATTGTTGTATTATTATTGTTGTATTATTATTGTTGTATTATTGTTATTTGTATTATTATTATTGTATTATTATTATTGTTGTATTATTATTGTTGTATTATTATTGTTGTATTAGTATTGTCGTATTATTATTGTCGTATTATTATTGTCGTATTATTATTGTTGTATTATTATTGTTGTATTATTGTTGTATTGTGTGTTTGTATTATTATTGTTGTATTATTATTGTTGTATTATTATTGTTGTATTATTATTGTTGTATTATTATTGTTGTATTATTATTGTTGTATTATTATTGTTGTATTATTATTTTATTAACAAACAAAACTACAAATAAACAAACAAAGCAAATAAAACAAATACACTTCAAACCACAACACACACTCACTCACAAGTCAAGTTCAGCTAAACAAGAAACAAATAAAGTTTACCTGTCCCAAACAAGCACAGGTAAACCTAACCTAACCTAACCTAACCTAACCTAACCTAACCTCAGGACTTATGACAAAACTATCGTGAAATATCCCGTAAATTGTTGTGTTTTTGTCTTAATTAGCAAGTGAGACGAGGGAGGGGGTGGGGAGGGAGGGAGGGGGTGTGGGAGGGGAGGGAGGGGGGGTGTGGGAGGAGGGAGGGTGGTGTGGGAGGGGAGGGTGGTGTGTGGGAGGAGGGAGGGGGGTGTGGGGGAGGGGAGGGAGGGGGTGGGGGGGGAGGGGAGGGAGGGGGTTTGGGGGAGGGGAGGGAGGGGAGGGGGGGAGGGGAGGGAGGGGGGTGGGGGGGAGGGGGAGGGGAGGGGGGGGGTGGAGGGGAGGGAGGGGAGGGGGAGGGGAGGGAGGGGGGGGGAGGGGAGGGGAGGGGTGGGGGGGAGGGGGAGGGAGGGGGGGGTGGGGGGAGGGGAGGGAGGGGAGGGGGAGAGGGGAGGGAGGGAGGTGTGGGGAGAGGGGAGGAGGGGGGTGTGGGGAGGGAGGGAGGGGGGTGGGGAGGGGAGGAGGGAGGGGTGGGAGGGGAGGGGAGGGAGGGGGGGAGGGGAGGAGGGAGGGGGGGAGGGGAGGGAGGGGGGGAGGGGAGGAGGGGTGTGTGGGGAGGGAGGGAGGGGGTGGGAGGGGAGGGAGGGGAGGTGTGAGAGGGGAGGGAGGGGAGGGGAGAGGGGAGGGAGGGAGGGGTGTGGGAGGGGAGGGAGGGAGGGAGGGATGGGGGAGGGGGGGTGGGAAGAGGGGGGTGGGGGTGGGGGTGGGAGGGGAGGGGGGGGGGGAGGGGAGGGAGGGGGGGTGGGGAGGGGAGGGAGGGGGGGGAAGGGGAGGGAGGGGGGGGGAGGGGGAGGGGAGGGGGTGGGGAGGGGAGGGGAGGGGGAGGGAGGGGTTGTGTGGGGGAGGGGGGGAGGGGAGAGGGGTGTGTGGGGAGGGGGGGAGGGAGAGGGGTGGGGAGGGGAGGGGAGAGGGGTGGGGGGAGGGGGAGGGGAGAGGGGTGTGGGGGAGGGGGAGGGAGGGGGTGGGGAGGGGGGAGGGGAGGGGGGTGGGGAGGGGGAGGGAGGGGGGTGGGAGGGGGAGGGAGGGGGGTGTGTGGGGAGGGGAGGGAGGTGAGTCGAGGGAGGTGGGTGTGTGGGAGGATAGGGAGGGATGTGTGGGAGAGAAGGAGGGGTGTGGGGAAGGGGAGGGTGGTGTGGAAGGGGAGGGGGTGTGGAAGGGAGGGTGTGTGTGGAAGGAGGTGTGTGGAAGGGAGGGGTGTGTGGGAAGGAGGGAGGGTGTGTGTGGAAGGGAGGGAGGGGGTGTGTGGTAGGAGGGAGGGGTTGTGGGGGAGGGAAGGAGGGGTTGTGGGGAGGGGAGGAGGGTTGGAGGGAGAGGAGGGGTTGTGGGAGGGGAGGAGGGTTGTGTGGGAGGGGAGGGAGGAGGGGAGGGAAGGGAAGGGATGGGGGACAGAACGAAAGAGGAGGAAGGGAAGAAGAAAAAATGAAAGGAAGGATGGAGAGGATGGAGGAAGAGGAAGGAGGACGGAAGGAGGAGAGGGCAAAGACTCCTCCTCATTGGATAAATCTGACCTAAATAAATTCTTCAGATTTAGAACAAAATAAATTCTTGGATAAATCTGAACTAAACAAATTCTTCAATAAATCTGAATATTCGATAAATTCGACGCACCTAATCCACCAGGAAGATTGTGTGGATATAAATCATTGACCTATTCCTTGTGTGGATTACTCAGGTCGTGTGAAAATATCCGCAGGGGAAAAATGTATTCAGTAAAGTCAGTTGAGGTTAACCCTCCTCCTTCCTTCCCTCCCTCCTCCCACTCTCCATTCTCTCCTTTCCCTCCTTCGTTCTCCTTCGCTCCTCTCTCCTTCCTCCTCCTTTTTCCTTTCCTCCTCTTCCTCTCTGTCTCACTCTTTCCCCTCCTCCTTCCTCTCCTTCACCCTCCCTCCTTCCCTCCCTCTCCCTTTCCTCCCCCTTACAAAGTCCTCCATTTACCCCTCCTCCTTCCCTCTCTGTCCATTCATCCCTCCCTCTCCCCATTCCTCCTTTCCTCCATAACCCTTCCCCTTCCTTCCATCCACCCTCCCTCTCCACCCACCCCTCCCTCTCCACACCCCTCCCTCTCTCTCCTCCACCCCTTCCCTCCATTAGACCTCACCCCCCTACAGATCAGCCTCTAGTCAGTCATAAAGACCACACCATGACCCCCTAGTAACACCCCTCACCCTCATCCCTGACCCTTCACCCGTTAACACTGCCAGTGACCCTTAACTGTGACCCTAGATCAATAACCTTGACCTTTATCTTACAAATGGAAGCTGGTAACTACAACATTAATAAGAGAAATAATAATAACAACAACAATAATAATAACAACAACAAAACAACAACAACAGCTATATAAAGGTCAATAAAAAAACACAACTCCACCAATACACATCTTCGCCCTTGACCTTCCACACATGACCTCTGACCTCTGGATGGGTAAGCAATGTTACCAGAAAACCTGCCAGTCGATCTCTGCAACTTTTATAACCTAGAGTGTTTCCTTCGATTTTTTTTTTGAGGCTACTGGCAACACTGCCGACTTATAAAACGATATATTTCTTATTTTTGTCGGAGGTTTATTATTAATTATTGACTTGTGTTTTACATTTACGTCTTTATTACCTCCTCTCTTTTGTCTATTCAACCACAATCCTCCTACCACCACCTTCAAGTACCACAATCACCCACCAAAACACCTACAAGTACCACAATCAATCACCACTAAAGACATTACAATCATCTTCACTACTACTATTACCACCACTACTACTATTATTACTACCACTACTACCACAATCTGTGTCATCTATACCACCCTAAGCACGTATCACCACAGCCTGCAATCACCACAACCACTATTATTACTACCCCAGCATCACCCACTACCACCACCATCTCCACCTACAACCACACCCACTACTATCACCACCCCTTCACCACCACCAACACCACAATCCTCTACTACTACATCACAACATCCATCATTTAGCATCACCTACCACCACCTATATCAACTACTACCAACAAATATAAACCACCACCATCAGCTACAACCACAACTACCAGCCCCCTCTACCACCGCCACACGTGTATCTGTCAACATTAGTTCAGAGACGCAGAGAACACTCTCACGCGGACAATTTCTTCCTCCACAACACAAATTGGGTAGAGATTCTATTACGGGTGAGCTGGTGGGGTGGGGTGGGTGGGGTGGGTGGAGTGGTGGAGTGGGTGGGAGGAGAAGTGGTGGGGAGGAGTGGTGGTGCAGTGGTGGGTGGGGAGAAGTGGGTAGGTGGGGAGAAGTGGTAGGTGGGGAGAAGGGTAGGTGGGGAGAAGGGTAGGTGGGGAGAAGTGGTAGGTGGGGAGAAGGGTAGGTGGGGAGTAGGTAGGTGGGGAGTAGTGGTGTGTATAGTGGTGGGTGGGGGAGTAGGGTGGTGGGGAAGTGGGGAGTAGTGGTGGGTGGGGAGTAGTGGTGGGTGGGGAGTAGTGGTAGGTGGGGAGTAGTGGATGTGGGAAGCTTGTGGTGGGTGGGGAGTAGGGTAGGTGGGGAGTAGTGGGGAGGAGGAGTGGTGAGGAGGAGTGGTGGGAGGAGGGGTGGAGGAGGAGGGAGGGGAGGGAGTGGTGGAGGAGGGAGGAGTGGTGGGAGGAGGGGAGGAGGGTGGGAGGAGGGGAGGAGTGGTGGGAGGGAGGGAGGAGTGGTGGAGGGGAGGAGGAGGGAGGGGAGGAGGCGGTGGGAGGGGGAGGCGTGGTGGGAGGAGGGGAGGCGTGGTGGGAGGGGAGGGGCGTGGTGGGAGGAGGGAGTAGTGGTGGGAGGAGTAGTGGTGGAGGAGGAGTGGTGGAGGAGGAGTGGTGGAGGGAGGGGGAGAGGAGTGGGGAGGGTGTGTGAGGGGCTACAAGCTACTAGGTATTACTCCTTTGCACTGGAGCGTGAGGAGGGGGAGGGGTGGGTGGGGGTAGATGGGGGAGGTGGCAGAGGAGGAGAGCTAGGCGTTAATCTATGGCTTCAAAAATAGTGCAGACCAAAATGGCGTCAGAACAGCCCTCAGACTGCCGCAACAACCATAGACGTACTTTCACATAAGTTAACCTAAAGAAACTTTGAGAATACCTAACCTACCTCCCCCCCCACCATCTTCCCGTAACTTTAAAGGAGAGTTTGGCATAAACCTGACGAAAACTGAGAAAGATTTTGTGAAAGATTGTGAAAGTGGGATCCCCTGAGAGCAGCGTGGGGGGAGGTAGTACACGACGCCGCATTTCTTAAACCATCGGTACATTGGGAGCGCCGCTAACCACCTCCCCACTTACCCCTAATTTGTAAAGCCACTGTACCTCCTATTTACAGCTGGTTGGCTAAAGATGGTCCTGGGAACGAACCAGGGACCCTTAGGACGGGAGGTGAGTGTTGTATCCACTTGCCAGCTTTTTTAAAGAGTATGGATTCTTTCTTTCCCTTTCATAAGTTCTTCCGATTTTAGAGAGAGAGAGAGAGAGAGAGAGAGAGAGAGAGAGAGAGAGAGAGATGGGGAGAGAGAGAGAGAGAGAGAGGAGGTGAGTTGCATGGACCGTTGTTGTTTTTAAAGCGTGTTTACAAGGTGATAACAACGGCACACCCAAGACTTGGCACCACCACTACTAACACTACCACAATCAAGCATTGCATACCACTATCACCACCACAAGCACTACACTATCACTACCACAACTACAAGCATTACACTACCACTTATCACCACCACTACCTGCAACAACTAAAGAACTCCAACCACCAACACCAAGCACTACACTACCACCATAACCACCTGCAACACTAAATAAATCAACCACCACTACAACCACTACTCTACCACTATTACCCACCATCTCTACTCACCACCACTTGAAAACAATCTCTCTTCTCTCTCTCTCCACACACACCTGTCAATCACCCACAGACAAAGAAACATTCGTCCTCACTACCCCTGCCAAGCCAAGCCAAGCCAAGCTGCTGCTGCCACCTTCAGACAAGCGAGAAAATAGCGAGAGAGGAGTAGAAATTGTTGACGAGAGATTGAGATGACAAGAGAGGTTCAGGGAGATAAAGTGAGAGATAAATTGAGTCATGAGAGAGAGAGAGAGAGAGAGAGAGAGAGAGACAGGTTGATATAAGAGAAACAAGAATTAGTAAAGTTAATGAGAAAAAAAATGCGAATAAGAAGAAGAGAAACAATAAGACGACAGACTAGAAAGAAAGAAAGAAAGAAAGAAGAAGAAAAGAAACCGCCAACTCTCTTCACCAGGTGGGGTTCTACAGTCACAGAGTAAAACATCCGCCATCATTCTCCCCTTCCACTGAGACCAAGCGCCACAACCACCAGCTGTTAGGGGAGGGAGTGGGGGTTAGGTGGGGTAGAGGTGTGGGCAGGGTGTGTGGAGAGCAGGTGGGGGAGCAGGGGTGGAGAGCAGGAGCAGGGTGGGGAGGGGGGCAGGGTGGGAGAGGAGGGTAAGATAGTGTTATACTCTCTTGTCAATAGGGTTTGGTTTAGGGAAAAATTGGCAGTGATTTACGCCCTTGCTAAATTGAAGAGGACAATGTTATACCATGCACACTGGCAGCAATAAAATTTTTACTGTCTCATGCCAATGTTAGAAGACAGCTATAGCAACTGTTATTAAGGTCTAGAGTATCATTTTCAGAGGCAGCAACAAAATTCTTTACTGTCTATGTCAGGGAGAAGGCAGTGCTATGCAGCTGTCAATTAGGGGTGAGGCCTGAAGTACACTGGAAGCAATAGATGCTCTTCACAATGTAGATAAAGACGGCAAGAGGATGCTGATACCCAGTGTCGTATAGCAGGAAATATACGGTAAAGACCTTACAGTGGACGACCTTCCTGGCTTAGACTGGTGAAAGGGGATGACAGTGCTATACGCCCGCTTCAATAGGGTTCAGGTACAAGGAGAAAGGCTCGCAATTTACGCCCTTCCCTGAATAGTTCTTTGCCGAGCAAGACAGTGCTACACTACTAGCTACTAAGGTGAAGGGTCACGGTGTTACACAACCAGAAGTGACGCTCTTCCTGACACAAGCAAACCCTGTGGGGATAACAGTGCTATACACCCTTGTTTATTAGGTTGATTAGATAGGATAAAATACTGACAATGAACGACCCTCCTGACTTTTGGCTCATAGAGACAGAGACAGTGTTATACTAAGATAAGAAGCACACGGTTATCGCTCTTACTGACGATGCTGAATGCGGTTTCATCCTCAAGTGAGCGTAGGGCGAGCACCGTGAACTAAGGCGTCTTCAGGCACTAATGAACTGTTTCACTGTCACCTCCTCGGTGTCATTAATCAGTCCTGGGCAGATCCACCACCTACCTACTACACCTCCACCGCCATCACAAGCAATCAACAGCGTCTGGCGTTCGTGTCTGACCACCCCCCACCATCTACGTATATAATAACACACCTCCACCACCATCACAAGCAATCAACAGGTTGGTTCGTGTCTGACAAATTAATTATCATTTTCTTCCAAGCGTTTTCGAATTTGTGGACAAAACAACAACTACCTTATAGTGATATTCCCCTCGACTTCAACCAAAGCCTTTGAGTGTGTCCCATACTCAAGACTAATTAATAAGGACAGTACACACACACACACACACACACACACACACACACACACACACACACACACACACACACACACACACACACACACACACACACACACACACACACACACACAAAAACGGCACTAAGGGAAGGGAAGGGAGAGAGCGTCAATTGGATGTGGTTAACAGATAGGCTACAAGAGGGTCAAAGTATTCCTGGTACAAAATCTATTGAGGAATGTTACAACCGCTGTGGCCTGACGTTAACTCTTTAGTACGTACATTAACAACACAGATACCCACGTAGACAGGAACGTTAAGTAAATCTGACGAAACAAAAATTGGGAGTAAAATTAAATAAAATTACTCGGAGAAAAACAATTACAGTAAGGCCAATGGAAAATTTTAGTACAGATAAAAATAAAATTAATAATAGCATATGATATACTTATATTCTTTTGTTATATTCTGCTGTTGTTATACTATACTGTTGGCTGTTGGAGGCAGGTAAGGAATTGCCTAGTCCTGTTGGTCTCATCTTTCCTTCCACCCGATAGTTCTGTTGACGTGATATAGATCTCTCTCTCTCTTTTTTTTTACACACACACACACACACACACACACACACACACACACACACACACACACACACACACACACACACACACACCAAATAATGTTATCACCCGGACAGAACATGACATACACGTTATTGTTTTCACCTATAGGTACAAATACTCCGTTATGGGACACTGAACAAATAGCTCGGTGGGAACAATGTGAGTAAATGACTTGGTTCTGGGACAATTGCAGTGCGTGGTTTTTGATGGTTTTTGAAAGAAAACAAATACGTAGAACCCAAATTCGCCGCAAACAGAGAAGCTCAGGGAAGCAGCCATCCCCTGGTCTCCCTGCTCACCTGGTACGATGTCTCCGTAAACTTCCTGCCTCTGGTACGTCTACGGAAAGGGTCGTGGAAAGGGGACGTGATTGCAGCCCGTATCATCATTGGGTATGACTTTGCTTGGGAGATTGGTATCCCGCATCCCTGAGCAACGCTCTTGTGCGTTATGCAGAAGACCCGACAGCCGCACCCTTATCCACTACATAAGATGTCCCCACACACAACGCTTCCGTGACGCCTGCCGGACCACCACTCCACGACCCCGGCGGAGACACGATGATCCTCCCATACTGGCCAGATATTTGTAAATAATATTGATAATGTGTTAAAGGAATATCCTTCCTTCCTTAGGCTTTAGTAAGCCCATAATATTTATACTGTATATACTTGTCACACTTTGCCAGATGCTTCTGGTGTTAGTGTACAGGGGTACCTAGTGACAGCACTAGGATCCCTTTCCTCTATCAAGGAATAAACAATTGAAATTGAAATTGAACAAATACGTCTTGGGAACAATATGAACAAAAACAAATTTAACAAGACATTAATAAATAACTATAACAATAAAAAATCTAACCTACCTAACGTAACACACTAACAACCTAACCTAACCTAACCTAACGAATCGTAACGTAACGTAACCTAACCAACTAAATAAGGGTAATACTGTTCATCATCACACCTGTCTCAATAATACGCTTCTGACACTCAATAATACCTTCTCTGGCACTCAATATACGCTTCTCTGGCACTCAATATACGCTTCTGACACAATATCCACTTCTATTCAATAAACGCTTCTCTGGCACTCAATATACGCTTCTGCACTCAATATACGCTTCTCTGGCACTCAATATACGCTCTGGCACTCAATATACGCTTCTCTGGCACTCAATATACGCCTCGACCTCAATATACACTCTCTGGCACTAATAATACGCCTTTGGCACTCAATATACACTTCTGGCACTCAATATACACTTCTGCATCAATATACACTGGCACTCAATAATACGCTTCTGGCATCAATAATACGCTTCTCTGGCACTCAATATACGCCTTCTGGACTTAATATTCGCTTCTCTGCACTCAATACACTTCTCTGGCACTAATAATACGCTTCTCTGGCACTCAATAATACGCTTTCTGGCACTCAATATACGCTTCTGGCACTCATGTCTCTGGCACTCAATGTACGCTTCTGACTCTCAATATACACTTCTGCACCATACCTTCTCTGGAATCAATAATACGCTTGCACTTATATACACTTTCTGGAACTCAATAATACGCTTTCTGGCACTCAATATACGCTTTCTGCACTCAATATACGCTTTCTGACTCTCAATATACACTTCTTCGTAATTAATAATACGCTTCTGGCACTCAATATACACTTCTCTGGCACTAAATACGCTTTCTGGCACTCAATATACGCTTCTCTGGCACCAATACGCTTCTCTGGCACTAATATATGCTTTCTGGCACTCAATGTACGCTTCTCTGACCTCAATATACACTTCTCTGGCACTCAATATACGCTTCTTCGCACTCAATAATACGCTTCTGCACTTCATATACACTTCTCTGGCACTCAATATACGCTTCTGCACTCAATAATACGCTTCTCTGGCACTCAATATACGCTTCTCTGGCACTCAATATACGCTTCACTGGCACTCAATATACGCTTTTACCCCTACTGACGTAGGTATGTAAGTGTTTGTTAAGTCAAGTATCGAGAAAGTCAAGTTGATATCAGGTTACAATTTTATAACATTTAACCCCACATTGTATATCAGAGGTGGGTTTTATTTGGGGTTATAGATGGCCAGTTAACTCAGTTAGTCAGTCAGTCTACCACCCAGTTACACATCCACCCACTCAATCAATCAATCAGTCATCCCACCAAACCACCCACCACCCAATCAACAAGTCGCTCACCCACCCACCAGTCAGATATCCCACCCACCTAATCAATCAGTGTCACCCACCCACCCAATCAACCCAGTCACCCACCTTACCCAACCAACCAGTCACCCACCCACCCAATGAAGTCACTCCAGCTCTACCCAGTTAGTCACTGAGCCAAGCATTAAGCCGATAAACGTTTATATCATAGTGTAAGTGAATGATAGTGTACATAAAGCTATATAAACATTGTGTATAAACATTGTATATAAACATTGTATATAAACATTGTATATAAACATTAACAGACGCCGGCGTGAATAACTGCCCACTATACCTATATACGTTTGACTTGTGGTAATTGAGCTCATAACTCTCTCTCTTCTTTCTTCTCTCTTCTTCTTCTCTCTTTCTCTCTCTCTCTCTCTTCTCCCTCTCTACTCCTCCATCCCATTCATTTCCTCTCCACCCCCTGAAACAAACAATAAATTGAAACGAAACAGTCGACTTATGACCCCCCCAAGGCTACAAATTTATGGTATCGGTATTCAGTTGGTGTAGAGAGAGAGAAGAGAGAGAGAGAGAGAGAGAGAGAGAGAGAGAGAGAGAGAGAGAGAGAGAGAGAGAGAGAGAGAGAGAGAGAGAGAGTGTGTGGTGTGTGTGTGTGTGTCTAGTAGTGATGTAGTCCCGCTTGTGGGGGGCTACAGGCATTGTGTATATTAAGGTTGTTGTTGTTGTTATTGTTTTGTTGTTGTGGTTGTTTCTTTGCTGTTGCTATGTATATTGTTTTGTTGTTTTTTATTATTGCTGCTGCTGTTTCTTGTTTGTTGCTGTTGTTGTTTTTGTTGTTGTTTTGTTGTTGTTGTTGTTGTTGTTGTTGTTGTTTTGTTGTTGTTTTGTTGTTGTTGTTGTTGTTGTTGTTTTGTTGTTGTTGTTGTTGCTATGTTGTTTTTTTTGTTTGTTGTTGTTATTGTTGTTGCTGCTGTTATTGATTGTTGTTGTTGTTGTTGTTGCTGGTTGTTGTTGTTGTTTTTGTTGTTGTTTTGTTGTTGTTATTGTTGTTGTTGTTGGTTTGTTGCTGGTATTATTAATAAAACCAGAAGCCACAATAGCTGTAGGATACAACTAGCGTTAACTATGCACACTCTTATGATGCTGAAAACCTCAATCCAGGTTTAACATATTATTAAACCAATGTTAACCAAACCTTTACTAACACTAGTTCTTGTTTACTTTATATACTACTTTAAACCGACTTATAACCGACCGACTTTAACCGATCTACTTATAACCGATTCTACTTATACAATGACTTCCACTTATAACTGAGCCTGCTTATAACTGACCTACTTATAACCGGGGATCTACTTTACAACGACTTACTTATAACTAGGCGCATTTATAACTGACTCCATTGTAACGACTCATTTATAACTGACTCCATTATTGTTTGACCTACTTTATAACTAGCTTAATTTATAACTGGACTTGGTTTACAATGGACTACTTACAACGACCTATTTATAACTGACTTATTTATAACCGACTCATTTCAACGACCTACTTGTGAGTAACTGACCTGCTTATAAATCGACTCCACTTGTAATGACCCATTTATAAATGGATTTACTTATAACCGACCTACTTATAACTGGGGACTCCACTTTGGTCCGACTTATTTAGTAACTGACCTACTATTAAATAATTATTTGTAACTGACCTGTTATAACCGACCCATTTATAACTTTCGACTCATTTATATAACAATTTATTTATAACTGATTCCGTTTATAACCGAACGATGAGTACCGACCTACTTATAACTGATTCCATATAATCATCTAATATAACTGACCTACTTATAACTGACTCCGGTTTATAGAACTGGAATGGCATTTATAATGACCGCCAATAACTTACTTGTAACTGACCTGTTTATAACTGACCTACTTATAACCGACCTATTTATAACGACTACACGAGATAAACTTATTTATAACCGACTCTACTTAACCGACCTGCTTATAACCTGGGACCTACTTAAACTGGTAATGCAGGTACAACAACTAATTATAACTGACGTATTTATAACCACCTATTATAATTGATTCACTTACGTTTATAAATGACCAACTTAGTGGATCTGTTTATAACCGACTTACCTATATAACGACCTACTAACTGACCCATTTATTAACTGACTTAATATAACCGGGGACTTACTTGTAACTGACCTATTTATAACCGACTTAATTTATAACTGACCTATTATACAACAACTTACTTGATAACTTGACCTGTTTATAACTGGACTCTACTTATAAACTGACTCTACTTAACCGACCTACTAACTGACCTACTTATAAATGACCTTACTTATAACCGGACCTTTATAACCGAATCGTTTATAATCGACTCATTATACAACAATCCATTTATAACGACCTGCTTATAACCGACCTACTTATAACCGACCTACTTATAACTGGACCTACTTTATGTACAACAACTTATTTATAACCGACCTATTATAACCGGTTCTGTTTATAACTGACCCACTTATAACCGACTCTACTATCAGCGTCAACTAATTATAACCGACGTAATTTATAACTGACCTACTTTATAACTGACTCTACTTACTTATAACCGACCTACTTAAAAGCGATCTGCTTTATAACCGACTTACCTATATAACGACTCTACTAACCGACCTACTTATAACCGACCTACTTATAAACTGACTGTACTATAACTGACTCCACTTATACAATCAACTTATTTATAACTGACCTGTTTATAACTGGGGACTCCATTATAACTGACCCACTTTATAACCGACCTACTTTATAAACAAATTACTTATAATCGACCCACTTTATAACCGACCTTGCTTATAACTGACCTACTTATAACCGACCTACTTATATGCAACAACTTAATTATAACTGACGTACTTATAACTGACCTACTTATAACTCGACCCACTTATAACCGACCCACTTATACAACAACTTACTTATAACCGACCTACTTGTTGATCTGCTTTATAACCGACTTACCTATATAACGACCTACTAACCGACCTCTATAACTGACCTACTTATACAAGGACCCATAGGACTCCACTTTACACCCTCGCCACCCAGTGTCACCCTCGCCACCCAGGTCACCACACGCCACCCAGTGTCACCCTCAACAGCCAGTGTGCACCCTCGCTGCCACCCAGTCCGCCACCTGTCACCCCACCCAGTACACCCTCGCCACCAGTGTCATCCTCACCCAGTGTCACCTCGCCGCCCAGTGTCACTGCCGCCCAGTGTCACCTCGCCCAGTGTCTCGCCAGTGTACCCGCCGAGTGTCACCTCTGCGGCCACTGAGTGTCACTGCCCAGTGTCACCTGCCGCCCAGTCACCCCTCGCTGCCCAGTGTCATCCTCGCCGTCCAGTTGTCACCCTGGTCCAGTGTTACCTCGCCACCCAGTGTAACCCTCGCCACCCAGTAACCCCGCCACCCAGTGTCATCCATCGCCACCCAGTGTCACTCCCCTGCCACCCAGTGTCACCTCACCACCCAGTGTCACCCGCCACCCAGTGTCACCCGCCACCCAGTGTCACCCCCTCCACCCAGTGTCATCCTCGCCACCCAGTGTCACCTCGCCATCCAGTGTCATCCCTCGCCACCCAGTGTCACCTCACCCAGTGTCACCTCACACCCAGTGTCATCCTCGCCGCCCAGGTCACCCCCCGCCGCCCAGTGTCACCCTCGCCGTCCAGTGTCACCCTCGCTGTCCAGTGCTCACCTCGCCGTCCAGTGTCACCCTCTCCGCCCAGTGTCACCCTCGCCGTCCAGTGTCACCCCGGCACCAGTGTCACCCTCGCCGCCCAGTGTCACCCTCGCCGTCCAGTGTCACCGCCGCCCAGTGTCACCCTCGCCACCCAGTGTTATCCTCGCCACCCAGGTCACCGCCACCCAGTGTCATCCCTGCCACCCAGTGTCACCTCGCCACCCAGTGTCATCTTCGCACCCAATGTCACCTCGCCACCCAGTGTCACCCTCGCCACCCAGTGTCATCCTCTGCCCCAGTGTCACCCTCGCCGCCCAGTGTCACCCCCGCCACCCAGTGTCACCCCTGCCACCCAGCCATCCTCGCCACCCAGTGCCCCTCACCCAGGTCACCCCTCCGCCCAGTGTCACCCCTCACCCAGGTCACCACCCAGTGTCATCCTCACACCCAGTATTCATCCCTGACAACGGTGCATCATCCCTCGCCACCCAGCATCATCCCCGCCCAGAGTCACCCGGTCGCCGCCCAGAGGTCACCCTCACACCCAGTGTCACCGCCACCCAGTGTCACTGCTGTCCAGTGTACCTCGTCCAGGTCACCTCGCCACCCAGTGTCACCGCCACCCAGTGTCACCTCGCCACCCAGTGTCACCCTCGCCACCCAGTGTCACCCCTCGCACCCAGTGTCATCCTCGCCCAGTATCATCCCTCGCCACCCAGCATCATCCTCGCCGCCCAGAGTCACCTGTCGCCGCCCAGTCACCCCGCCACCCAGTGTCACCCTCGCACCCAGCATCATCCTCGCCGTCCAGTGTCACCCTGGCACCCAGTGCCCTCGCCACCGCAGGTCACTGTCGCGCCCAGTGTCACCCCTCGCGCACCCAGTGCCCTCGCCACCCAGTGTCACCTCGCTGCCCAGGTCACGCCCAGTGACAACCCAGTCACCTCACCCAGCATCATCCTCGCCGTCCAGTGTCACCCCGGCACCCAGTGGCCACCGCAGCCCAGTGTCACCTGCCACCCAGTGTCACCCCTGCTGCCCAGTGTCACCTCGCTGCCCAGTGTCACCTCGCCGCCCAGTGTCACCCTGCCGCCCAGGTCACCCCTCCTGCGTCACCCCGCCGCCCAGTGTCACCCCTGCCGCCCAGTGTCACCCTCTGCCAAGGTCACCCCTGCCGCCGTGCGTCACCCTCGCCACCCAGTGTCACCCTCGCCACCCAGCATCATCCCCGCCGTCCAGGTCACCCCGGCACCCAGTGCTCGCCACCCAGTGTCACCCTCGCCACCCAGCATCATCCCTCGCCGCCCAGTGTCACCCCTCGCCACCCAGCATCCCTCGCCGCCCAGTGTCACCTGCCGTCCAGTGTCACCCTTCGGCACCAGTGTCACCCTCGCCGCCCAGTACCCCGCCACCAGCATCATCCCTCGCCGCCCAGTGTCACCCTGCCGTCCAGTGTCACCTCGCACCCAGCATCATCCTCGCCGCCCAGTGTCACCTCGCCGTCCAGTGTCACCCTCGGCACCCAGTGCCCCCTCGCCGCCCAGTGTCACCTCGCCACCCAGCATCATCCTCGCCGCCCAGTGTCACCGCTGTCCAGTGTCACCCTCGCCACCTAGCATCCCCTCACCCAGGTCACCGTCCAGTGTCACCCTCGGCACCCAGTGTTCTCCCTGCCCAGTGTCACCCTCGCCACCCAGCATCATCCTCGCCCAGTGTCACCCCCTCGCCCAGTGCCACCTCGCCGTCCAGTGTCACCTCGCCACCCAGCATCATCCTCGCCGCCCAGTGTCACCCTCCACCCAGCATCATCCTCGCCCAGTGTCACCCTCGCCGCCCAGGTGTCACCCCCGCCGCCCAGTGTCACCTCGCCGCCAGTGTCACCCTTCGCCGCCCAGTGTCACCCCTCCGCCCAGTGTCACTCGCCACCCAGTGTCACCCTCGCCACCCAGCATCATCCTCGCCGCCCAGTGTCACCCTCGCACCCAGTGTCACCTGCCGCCCAGTGTCACCCCCTCTCCGCCCAGTGTCACCCCTCTCCGCCCAGTGTCACCCCTCGCCACCCAGTGAGGCTTGATTCCAGCCTCCTAGTGAGAGAGGAAGTGTTACCTCCAGTCCACAGCGTGCTCCAGAAACAGCAAGCCTGGCACCCCCATTCTCACCTCTCCCTCCCTCCCTCCTCCTTATCCTACTCTCCCCTCCATCCCTACCTCTCACTCATTCACTGGAGGCGTCAGGCTTCGAGTCTCTAGGTCGAGGGTTAATCTATGATGTGTGTGTATACTTGAACCACATGCATGAACAAACACACACTACTTTTGTACTCTGAATCAGGTATGGCGATCATCCAGCTATGATACAATGGTATAAGTTATTGCTGATGTCACATTCATTGAGTTTTAGACGACTAAAGAGGTCGATACGGACCGGCAGAATCTGTTCACAGATGTTGTACAGTATATGGGGGGGCTACATCTAGTGAGGAGTGCCTTCCTCTTGCGTTGGCACATGTCTGTCTTGGTTTGTAGTCGGGCTAACTGAAAGTATTACACCTGTGTGGTGCTCTCCAAGCGTTACGATGTGGAGTAATCGTCTCTCAGGTGAGGGGTCGATTTGACACTTTTTCAGGTTTGTCTTAAGACTATCCTTACACCTTTCAGTTGCCCGCCAGCGTTACGTTTTACTATTCGTCAGGTGATTGTACCCCTGATGCTCCTACAGTAGTCAGCGAGAATACTAGCATTTGTCTCTCTTCCCAGCGAACCTGAGGATGGAAATTACGTTGGTGTAAGCCAAGTGCCTTGAGGTCTCCTGTATGTGACCCATGTCTGTGCCATATAGCAGGGGAGGACCACTGCTCGATATATGTGTAACTTTGCAGATAATTTCAGTTCTCACAGCTGAAGACACGGTCTGTGGTCTGCCAAAGGCTTGAGATGCACACCTGATCCGATGCTGAATTTCTTAATCGATGTCCCAGTGGTGGACAGTGGAGCTGAGATACCGAAAGTGGGTACATTAGAGGGTAATAGAGCCAAGCTGGATGAATGATGGAGGTGTGTCTGAACCAGGAAAGGATGAAAGAGAATCTGAGTCTTACATACATTCACCCTGCTGAAGTGTGCATACTTCCTCTGTAGGAGTTCAGGATCTCCTGTAGGTCGCGATCAGTGTGAGTAACAACGGTGAGGTCTGCATACTGAAGTTCAGTAATGAAGCTGCTGACACCTTTTGTTCCTGCTTCGAGTCATCTTAAGTTGAAAAGACCCTTCATCTGGAATTTCGATATCCACCTGCTGGCTAAATTGCACTTGCAGGAGTAAGGAAGGCCGCCAAGAAAATGGAAAAGAGAATTAGTGCCAGTACACTCTTTGTTAACCCCTGTTTGAATGAAGAAGAACTCAGACTGAGGACATTGTGCAGGCTATGCTGTTCATGCCATCGTGGAGTTGCCTCACAATGGCGATGAATTTTGGTGGCAGCTAAACCACCTAAGGATCCACCAGAGGGTTTCCATGTTGACCGAGTCAGCGTCGGTTAAGTCGATGGTACATCAATGACGCTGTTCTTCTCTCTTTTCCTGTATCTGGCGGGTAGCAAAGATCCTGTCATTGGTGCCACTAATGGTTTAAAGTCACGTTGAAATCTGGAGGAAGTTTCTGCCCCAAAACACACACACACACACACACACACACACACACACACACACACACACACACACACACACACACACACACACACACACACACACACACACACACACACACACACACGGGTTCAAGACATCGTACTTTAGGGGTTAAATATTTGACAGAACGAACGGAGGAAACCTGACGAGTCGACGGAAGGAGACAGACAGACGAGAGGGAAGACAGTACTAAACAAGAGCTGTGCCAGACCAACCACCACCTGTTCTTCCATAAAGGTGAATCCCAAGTATACGTCAATCCAGCGTCGACTATCTCGTCACCAATTCTCCTTTCCTCCACTGACAACAATAACAACAAGGAAAGACAAAAACAATGGCTGTTTTCCATTACGCTAAGGGGAGAAGGGGTGAAGGAGGAGCGGAGGAACAAGACCTGAAATGAAAAGGATTTTTCCAAGGAAGGAAGAGTGAGGGTCGAGGGGTTGATCAGATGAAAAGTAATATCGGATTCCTTTACTGTCGTCTTACTGTCACTGACGGGGGTAGGGGGAGGAGAAGGGAGGGGTGCAGAGGTGTTGTCTTGTGTGTTCCAGTCGGAGATGACACCACTGACTGACACAGACAGGTATACAAGAGGGATGACTGACAGACACACAGAAGTCCTGTTGCTTCTAATAGATTGATTTATGAGGGAAGAAGAAGAAGAAAATAAAGAAGAAGAAGAAGAAGAAGAAGAAGAAGAAGAAGAAGAAATAAAGAAGAAGAAGAAAGAAGTAAAGGTTAAAGAAGAAGTAAAGAAGAAGAAGGAAAGAAGTAAAGGTTGAAGAAGAAAGAAAGGAAGAAGAAGAAGAAGTTAAGTAAGAAGAATGAAAGGAAGAAGAAGAAAGAAGAAGAAGTAATAAAAGAAGAAGAAGAAGAAGGTTGTTAAAGAAGAAGAAGAAGAAGAAGAAGAAGAAAAGGAAGAAGAAGAAGAAGAAGAAGAAGAAGAAGAAGAAAGTTGGTTGAAGAAGTTAAGAAGAAGAAGAAGAAGAAGAAGGTAAAGAAGAAGAAGAAGAAGAAGAAGAAGTTGAAGAAGAAGAAGAAGTAAAGGAAGTTGTTAAGAAGAAGAAGAAGTTAAAAGAAGAAGAAGAAGAAGAAGAAGAAGAAGAAGAAGAAGAAGAAGAAAGAAGAAGTTAAAGAAGAAGAAGAAGAAGTAAAGAAGAAGAAGAAGTTAAAGAAATAAATAATAATAAATAAATAACAGTTAAATAATAATAATAAATAAATAATAATAGTTGTATTAAATAATAAATAATAATAATAAATAAATAAATAATAAATAAATAAATAAAATGTTAAAACAGTTAAAATAAAGTTGTTGTTAAATAAATAAAATAGTTAAATGTTAAATAAATAAATAATAAATAAATAAATAAAATAAAATTAAAAAAGTTTAAATAAAATAAACAGTTAAATGATAATAAATAAATAAATGAATAGTTTGTTTAAATTAAATAAATGAAATAAATAAATAAATAAATGTTGAAGAATAAAGTTTAAATGAATAAATAAATAAATAGTTTAAATAAATAAATGAATAAATAAATAAATAAATAGTTTAGTTTAAATAAATAAATAAAATATTAAATAAATAAATAAATAAATAAATAAATAATAGTTGTAAATAAAATAATGAATAAATAAATAAATAGTAAAATAAATAAATAGTTAATAGAAGAAGAAGAAGATTATGTAAGACGAGACGATCATCATCTTGCTGTTATCCCAACAACAAGAGAGTGATGTGTGGCATTGTAGCTTTTTATTGTGTACACCCAATGCTGCTGCAAACACACACACACACACACACACACACACACACACACACACACACACACACACACACCCCTAACCCAAACACTCCTATCCCCTGAACCAAACACCCTCACCCTCTTGAACCAAACACCCTCACCCCTGAACCAACACCCTCACCCTTGAACCAAACACCCCAAACCCCTTGAACCAAACACCTCACCCTGAACAAACACCTCACCCTTGAACTAAAACACCCTCACCCTTGAACCAAACACCTCACCCTTGAACCAAACAACCCCTCACCCTGAACTAAACACCCCTCACCCTGAACAAACAATCACCCTTGAACAAACACCCTCCCCCTTGAACTAAACACCCTCACCCTTGAACAAACACCCTCACCCCTTGAACTAAACACCTCACCCCTTGAATTAAACACCCTCACCCTTGAACAAACACCCTCACCCCTTGAACTAAACACCTCACCGTTGAATTAAACCTCACCCCTGAACTAAACACCCTCACCTTGAACTAAACACCCTCACCCCTTGAACTAAACACCCTCACCCCTTGAACCAAACACCCTCACCCTTGAACTAAACACCTCACCCCTGAACCAAACACCCTCACCCTGAATCAAACACCCTCACCCTTGAACCAAACACCCTCACCTTGAACTAAACACCTCACCCCTTGAACTAAACACCTCACCCTTGAACTAAACACCTCACCCTTGAACTAAACACCCTCACCCTTGAATAAACCCCTCACCCTTGAACACCCCCACCCTTGAACTAAACACCCCCTCACCCCCCTGAAGCTTAATACATAAGTACTAGAATCTTAACGTGCATAAACAAGTAGACCTCAGTAGGACTAGTGAGAGGTGGGGGCTGCTGAGGGCTAGGGTCTGGTGAGGGCTGAGGGGCTGCTGAGGGCTAGGGTCTGGTGAGGGCTGGAGGGGGCTGGAGAGGGTTGGTGAGGGCTGGAGGGAGGAATGAAGGCATGGAGGAAGGAATGATTGGCATGGAGGAGGTGAATGAAAGGGATTGGAGGGAGGAACGAAAGGGTTGAGGGAGGAATGAAGGCGGCTGGAGGGAGGAATGAAAGGGGCTGGAGGGAGGAATGAAAGGGCTGAGGAGTGTCGAAGGCGGGATGGGAGGAAATGACGTGCGTATGGAGGGAGGAATGATTTATGCATGAGGAGGAATGAAAGGGCTGAGGAGGAATTAAGGCAGATGGAGGGAGGAAAGGATTTATGGTTGGGAGGATGGAAGGGGCTGGAGGAGGAATGGCTGGAGGAGAATGAAAGGCTTGAGGGAGGAATGAAGGTATGGAGGAGGAATGAAGGCGGCTGGAGGGAGAATGAAGGCGGGCTGGAGGGAGGAAGGCTGGAGGAGGAATTAAGGCAGATGGAGGGAGGAATGAAGGCATGGGAGGAAGGAATGACGGCGGCTGGAGGGAGGGAATGAAAGGGGCTGGAGGAGGAATTAAGGCAGATAGAGGGAGGAATGAAGGCATGGAGGAAGTGAAATACAGTACAGAGGGAGACAAGAGGCTGGAGGAGGAATGAAAGAGGCTGAGGGAGTGAATAGGCAGCTGGAGAGAGGAATGAAGGAGCTGGGAG